TATATATATATCATGACTTTATTTTGATGCCTCTCTCTCTCTCTCTCTCTCTCTCTCTCTCTCTCTCTCTCTTCCTTCGGCTTGCTCTGTGTCTTATGACACATGGGTAATGTTTCCATACTTAAGGGATTCCCTGTAAAGAGGAGCCCACATTTTCCTAGTGTCTGACGTATATATTTGTACTCACTGTCTCACTGAACTTTCAAAAGGAAAGAAATAATTAGTTGAATGTACTTGCCCACAGGATCTACGTTTACTGGTTATTTTGAGATATCGTGTCAGGTCTGCCGCAGTCTCGTTTAATTCACAAATGACACTTGGATCACGAGGAGACTTTTACTACAGTATAGTAGTACAGTAAGCTAGATCCCTTACAGCTGTTATTCAGAGTTTGCAAAGCACAAAGATCAGGAAATATCCAAGCCTGGTGTTTGCTCTTGACAAATGCTTAGCAGGATCACAGAACAGTAACTTGTTGCTGGAGTACCGGTCCCACAGGAACGGAAATCAAGGAATGTAACAATTGTTCCAGTTTTGATTCCTAAAGGGAACAGGATGTCTTGATAATAATTTTCTTTTTCTTTTGTTAAACTGAGATCCCTAACCTAATGTCTACTGAACATTTTCAGCATTGATTCAGACTTTTCTTTGTCCTTTTATTCCTCTATGACTGTTATTCTAGCATACCTCTTTTCCTCCAGTACCTTCCTTCTTTTCCCAACCATAGTTTTGTGCTTGCACACTGCTCTAAAATATAGAGTGGATCTTCCAACTTCAGTTTGTCAACCCATACAAACAGATGTGAAGGTTTTTCAAACAACTTCAATTTCTCTTGCTCAGGCAACTTGGAAACATGCTATTGAGAAAGCCAAAGCCATGCCAGATCCTTGGGCTGAGTTCCATCTGGAGGATATTGAGACGGAGCGCTGCACTCGATACAGGTGAGTGAATATGAGGCTTTTAAAATTGTTAACCTACTGTTCAAGGAATGAAGGTTTGAATCCAGCAGGAGGCAACACATGAGCAGTGTTGGAGAGCCAAGCTACAAGCTAGGTCAAGCTATTCTTTTGGAAAAGTAGTGTAAATAGCTACACTATAACTTACCAACAAAAAGCAGCTCCACCGATACTACTTAAAGGGTTAAAACTTATTTTTGAATTGAGCGGTTTAATCCAGAGACACTCTTTATATGATGAACAGATTAAATTTAGCCATTTATTCACATATAAACTTTAATCAATGCACATACAAGATGCATCAAATATGGTAAACAGAAGCTCAACTGTACTTGCTTGATGTGTGAGAAGAAACCTCATTGCTTCTTGGGCTCAAACATGCTTGCATGATACGCAAGAACAAACCCCATTGGTTCTCGCACGTCAAGCAAGCACTTTTGAGCTTCTGTTTACCAAAAATATCTTCAGTCATGTTTCAGAGATTAACGAAAGTCTTATGGGTTTGGATTAGAGCAACTTGAATGTGTGTAATTGATGACAGAATTTCATTTTTGGATGAATTATCTAATTAAATGAACAACCACTTTTCAATAAATTAACAATTTTACAATGGCAGAAACACAAAATCCACCAGAAACTAGGATGTCACTGCACTATTTTGAAAACACTTGAGCTACTCTCATGTTACTGAAAAATGTAACATTTGTAGCGTCGCTACTTTAAATTAGTGAGTCCCCAACACTGCACATGAGATTGGCCCTTGTGACCTACCTATCATCACTGAACTTTGGTTTCCTCCTGTTACAAGTCCTGTGTTTTACCACACACTGACACAAGTCTAAATCAATCTCAGATGATTTCAGAACATGTCATCCCATGTTAAGTATAATGTCAGATGGATACTAACACAAGGGGTCCACTCCCAGTTTCAATACTCTAATTTTAAACATTTGTAACTTCACACCTCTAAAATATCCCTTGAATTTCAGCCAATGTCTGTGTGTGCCAGGGGTGCCCACACTTTTTTGTGTGGGGAATGGGAATCTACTTTTCAAATGAGAAACTACCAAGTAAAATAAATAAATAAAATACATGTAAAATAAATAAATAAAAAGCTTGTTGGAATGTAGCCTACCTTTATATTGCATTAATTTCATTTCATTTCATTTAATAATAAAAAAAAAAGTTAATTTCTTAGTACCCTTAATTAGTACCTTTTATTTTAGTGTTATTACTTTTCAATTCCATGTAATTATTCTTAAAGGGGTCATATGACGTTGCTAAAAAAATAACATTATTTGGTGTAATGAAATGTGTTTATGCGGTTTAAGGTAAAAAAAACACATTATTTTCCACATACTGTACACTATTGTTTCTTCTCTATGCCCCGCCTTTCTGAAACGCGTCGATTTTTACAAAGCTCATCGGGCTGAAAAGCGAGGTGTGCTCTGATTGGTCAGTTATCCAGTGCATTGTGATTGGCTGAATACCTCAAGCGTGTCACAGAAATGTTACGCCCTTACCATACTGTGATGCCTTGTCCCGGAGCGACGAGACAAAAACATTAAAACCCATTATAAACAAGGCATTTGTTGCATCCAGTGGGGACATAATTACGGATTATAATGACTTATACTGTCTTTTTAAACATAAAACCATGTCTGCATTTGTGATCGGAAAAACGACAAACAACAAGCGCTACTCTACACTGCTCAAAACTCACATTTGAATCATCAGTGGCAAATCCTTTAAATATGAAAGCGTACTTACAGGCTGCGAGTCAGCATTATTTGTCAGAACACTGGCATTGTAGGCTATTCTCCCAGGAAACAGTCCTCGTCCTCCGTAAAATGCGTTGCTCACATCTTAATATTTGGGTTGAACTGTTCTGGAATAGTGCTGTAAATACAACTTAACCACTGATTTCTAGCTGTGTCCTCAGGATGGCAGGCAAACATCAACAACCCGATCTTCCTTCCTGGTATTGTAGTACTTTTAAAGATTTATCACCGGTGAATGACACATGATGTAGCCCAGCGGTTAATCCAGTCCTCGCGCCAGCTCGTTAGAAGTGAGCTACGTGCATGAACTGTGTTCCGATCGATATGATCCCTACACAGTGTTCATTGCTCCCTACTCACTGAGCGGGGGAAATCCATTGAAGTTTACTTCACTTCGGAACATGGGCTGGAATTGGGAACCGCTGATGTAGCCTATTGTAGTAATGTTGTCTCTGGTCTGCGAGTGTAAATGCGTTCAGGGGGCGTGGCTTTGGATGGCGATTGCAGGGAGGGTGGGACGTTCGCTTTCAGTGCTATCAGGCTAAAGTTAGCATTTTCCAAGATCTCCTACTGCACCTTTAACTGTCCAATGAAAAACAATAGTCAATTTTGTATATTTTCTGTGAATATTATCTTTATAATGTAGAAGATACATTTTTTAGGGTAAAATGTGTTTACATTTGTTATGTTTACATCTCCATGTAGCCACATAGTTTGAGACTGATTTCCAGTTGCCGTAGATTGATAAATACTTCCTGAGAACGAAAGGGAATAGAAAGCTATATTTAAAGTGATAAAAGTGTAAACATGTGTTCTTGTTCTTTAGATACAATGCGGTTACTGGTGAATGGGCAAAAGATGACATATTTATCAAGGTTTCCTCTCAGGTATCTTGGCACAACAATACACTTGTTTTCCGTGATAGTAACACATACATAAATGTATTAATGCTGATTATTTAGCATTATTTTTAAATTAATTAATTAATATTTCTTTCACAGTCATTTGGAAAAGGAGCCATGAGGGAATGCTATAGATCGTAAGTCAAGCCAGTTTAAACATATACTGTATGTATACACTAAACTAGGTAATGAGTATTAATGTTTATAAAGCAAAATTGTACAATTTCTTGTCAATGTAGTCAAGTTTGTTTCCGTTTTTACTCACCTTTTTGTTGTTTATTTATTTTTTATTAAAAGTCAAAAACTGCACTTTATAATATTAAAAGTATTAGGAAAACTATTGTGTAGAATGGGTTTACTTGTCATGCTGCAGGACATTACTGACACTACTTCTGAAGTTATTTTCACCACATTAACCAGCCTATAAACATTGTATTAAAAATATATGATATACTTTATAAAATAACATCCCTTTTAGTTGGTACGTCCATTTCTTAGTGGTATATCTTCCATTATTCAAGTAATAATTTTACTTCTCTCAATCTCTCATTATGTGTTATGAAATGGGTTTTTGTTGATCTGGAGCTTTCGATTCCCTTTCGATCACAGGAAGAAGCTGTCAAACTTTTCCCACAGCAGCAACTGGAAATCAGCCTCAAACTATGTGGCTAAGAGATACATGGAGACCGTGGACAGAGATGTTTACTTTGAGGATGTGAGGTTACAAATGGAGGCTAAATTATGGGGCGAGGAGTTCAATCGCCACAGGCCTCCTAAACAGGTACTTCTTTGATGGATGTTGTTTGTTCAAAAAACATTGACAATTTTGGTGTAAACTAGGTTTGACCACTCAAACCTGGTTCGAACAATCACACCAGATAAGAATTATGTACTTATTTAATGTATCCCATCATTATTAGGTTGACATCATGCAGATGTGCATTGTGGAAATGACTGGTCGCCCTGGGAGCCCTTTATTTCACCTGGAACACTACATTGAGGGGAAGTACACAAAGTACAATTCCAACTCTGGTTTTGTGAGGGACGATAACATACGGCTTACACCCCAGGTGTATTGTCAAAGATGAAACAAATCTGAATCTGTTGTCCCAGTCAGATGATGTGTGATTATTTATTGGCAATTATGTTTTTGTGGCTTTAGGCATTCAGTCATTTCACATTTGAGCGCTCTGGACACCAGCTGATAGTGGTGGACATTCAGGGTGTTGGGGACCTTTACACAGACCCTCAGATCCACACTGAGAAGGGGACTGACTTTGGAGATGGCAATCTAGGTATTTATCAACATCCTGCCTTATTTTTCTCCTTAGAAGAATTTGATTTGTCTTAAAGTTGACTAATGTATGCATGAGGAACATTTGTAATGATTGTCTGTGTGTTTGTGTTTCAGGTGTGCGTGGCATGGCTCTTTTCTTCCACTCTCACCTGTGTAATAAGATCTGTAGGAGTATGGGCCTCACTCGCTTTGACCTGTCCCCTTCTGAAACTGCACAATTGGACTGCACCAACAAATTGCTGGTTTGTATTGGATAATAAAAAAACATCCTTATGTAAGCGTAACCAGGGCTCGAAGTTAGGATAGCCTGGGGCTAGTGTGAGAGATTTGGGTCAGTTAATGGAGCTGCTCAATAGGGACTTTGCTATATTTACATAGAGTGCAGCAGAGATGAGTTTACCTGCTCAGCATCATGATGTTTAATGCACCAGACAACCTCTGTAGTCCCAATTAGACACGTGTTAGCAACCACCTTTTTCAAGACAAGTAAAATATTGTATTAATTTGAAAACGGGTATTACTAATTTATTGTATGTTGTCGAATAAAAACTCAAAGAATTTACCCAAAGAAATTTACCATTTGACTTCAGGACGTAGGAACTGGAAGTGCTAAAATGCTAACTTGTTTCTGGGATTTGTCCTACAAAAATATGTCATCCTGCAGTACATTTGTTGCCGATATATGCACCATTTTTCCATGGTTAGCAAAAAAAAAGCTATACTGAAATATTATAATTTGGTTCTGATAGTTAATTTAAATATATGTTTTGTTTTTTGGTGTGAAAATATCACTGGACCTGATCCGGCCAACATAATAAAATTATTATCACTTAGCCACAGCTAACGGTTTCATTTCTGCAGGTTTTCTAAATAAATTATTTTTTCTAAGCAGCTGTCAGCTCAGACTGTCCTCCGTGGATGTGAAGAGCATTGTGGTTCGCCCAGGGTCCGGACGACCTCTCTCGGCCACATGCCTGTTCTCCTCTCCCGGCTCTCTGAGACTTCCTCGGTTGATGAAAGCAGTGACACAGACTCGGTTCCCTGTTCTCCACTTAGTATGGGCATCTCTGTAGGCCGATCACCCATGGGTAATACTATACTAACCCGGTACTATGTGTGAATGCACCCAAGTGGCCCACCTAAGTAATATCAAACCCCCTTTAAGGCCAAGTCAGATCAAGTCGTGAGCAGGACAACAATGGTATTATATATTTTGGTATCATAGCAGATCTAGTTAATGTTATTAATAGTTATCTATCTCCTCCTCCACATTACTGTCTATGGTAATATCAATGTGTTACAGTTTCCCTCTACTCAAGAGTAAAGACAAAACAATGAATGAATCTTTGTTTAGGGTCTATCAGCTGTCAGGATGTTGCAACCATCTGGAAACACTTTTTCAAATATAAATATTTGTACAATAAAGTACAAGAGTCCCTCCACTTGTCAGCTGGCCGAGAACTCAAGTGGGCCTTTGACTGGCTGGTTGTGATGTTACTAAAATGATCAGTTCTTTTCATTGGGAAAACAGATAAATATTCAATGCATTTGGCTATTTTTAGACAGAATGTTCTTTGTACTTTCAAAATGCTTAAAGAGATAGTTCACCCAAAAATGGGTGATTATCTGCTTACCCCCAGGGCATCCAAGATGTAGGTGACTTTGTTTCTTCAGTAGAACACAAACAAAGATTTTTGTTGCAGTCTGTCAGTCATATAATGGAAGTGAATGGGAATCACGACTTTGAGAGTTAAAAAAACATACACAAACAAAACCAAATGAAACCCTGCAGCTCATGACGATACATTGATGTGTAAAGACACGAAACGATTGGTCTGTGCAAGAAACTGAACAGTATTTATATAGTTTTTTACCTCTGATGCACCGCAATGTCTGAACTGTCCTGAGCGCATCCTCGACAGCCGGCGCGTGACGTGTCTTCTTCTTCTTCTTGCTTTACGGCGGATCGCAGACTTATAAGTGCATTACCGCCACCTATCTCTCAAATGGACCATTGACACTCCTAATTGAGATTTGGTGGACATTCAGGGTGTTGGGGACCTTTACACAGACCCTCAGATCCACACTGAGAAGGGGACTGACTTTGGAGATGGCAATCTAGGTATTTATCAACATCCTGCATTATTTTTCTCCTTAGAAGAATTTGATTTGTCTTAAAGTTGACTAATGTATGCATGAGGAACATTTGTAATGATTGTCTGTGTGTTTGTGTTTCAGGTGTGCGTGGCATGGCTCTTTTCTTCCACTCTCACCTGTGTAATAAGATCTGTAGGAGTATGGGCCTCACTCGCTTTGACCTGTCCCCTTCTGAAACTGCACAATTGGACTGCACCAACAAATTGCTGGTTTGTATTGGATAATAAAAAAACATCCTTATGTAAGCGTAACCAGGGCTCGAAGTTAGGATAGCCTGGGGCTAGTGTGAGAGATTTGGGTCAGTTAATGGAGCTGCTCAATAGGGACTTTGCTATATTTACATAGAGTGCAGCAGAGATGAGTTTACCTGTTCAGCATCATGATGTTTAATGCACCAGACAACCTCTGTAGTCCCAATTAGACACGTGTTAGCAACCACCTTTTTCAAGACAAGTAAAATATTGTATTCATTTGAAAACGGGTATTACTAATTTATTGTATGTTGTCGAATAAAAACTCAAAGAATTTACCCAAAGAAATTTACCATTTGACTTCAGGACGTAGGAACTGGAAGTGCTAAAATGCTAACTTGTTTCTGGGATTTGTCCTACAAAAATATGTCATCCTGCAGTACATTAGTTGCCGATATATGCACCATTTTTCCATGGTTAGCAAAAAAAAAGCTATACTGAAATATTATAATTTGGTTCTGATAGTTAATTTAAATATATGTTTTGTTTTTTGGTGTGGCCAGTGAAAATATCACTGGACCTGATCCGGCCAACATAATAAAATTATTATCACTTAGCCACAGCTAACGGTTTCATTTCTGCAGGTTTTCTAAATAAATTATTTTTTCTAAGCAGCTGTCAGCTCAGACTGTCCTCCGTGGATGTGAAGAGCATTGTGGTTCGCCCAGGGTCCGGACGACCTCTCTCGGCCACATGCCTGTTCTCCTCTCCCGGCTCTCTGAGACTTCCTCGGTTGATGAAAGCAGTGACACAGACTCGGTTCCCTGTTCTCCACTTAGTATGGGCATCTCTGTAGGCCGATCACCCATGGGTAATACTATACTAACCCGGTACTATGTGTGAATGCACCCAAGTGGCCCACCTAAGTAATATCAAACCCCCTTTAAGGCCAAGTCAGATCAAGTCGTGAGCAGGACAACAATGGTATTATATATTTTGGTATCATAGCAGATCTAGTTAATGTTATTAATAGTTATCTATCTCCTCCTCCACATTACTGTCTATGGTAATATCAATGTGTTACAGTTTCCCTCTACTCAAGAGTAAAGACAAAACAATGAATGAATCTTTGTTTAGGGTCTATCAGCTGTCAGGATGTTGCAACCATTTGGAAACACTTTTTCAAATATAAATATTTGTACAATAAAGTACAAGAGTCCCTCCACTTGTCAGCTGGCCGAGAACTCAAGTGGGCCTTTGACTGGCTGGTTGTGATGTTACTAAAATGATCAGTTCTTTTCATTGGGAAAACAGATAAATATTCAATGCATTTGGCTATTTTTAGACAGAATGTTCTTTGTACTTTCAAAATGCTTAAAGAGATAGTTCACCCAAATTAAAGGGATAGTTCACCCAAAAATGAAAATTGTTTATCTGCTTACCCCCAGGGCATCCAAGATGTAGGTGATTTTGTTTCTTCAGTAGAACACAAACAAAGATTTTTGTTGCAGTCTGTCAGTCATATAATGGAAGTGAATGGGAATCACGACTTTGAGAGTTAAAAAAACATACACAAACAAAACCAAATGAAACCCTGCAGCTCATGACGATACATTGATGTGTAAAGACACGAAACGATTGGTCTGTGCAAGAAACTGAACAGTATTTATATAGTTTTTTACCTCTGATGCACCGCAATGTCTGAACTGTCCTGAGCGCATCCTCGACAGCCGGCGCGTGACGTGTCTTCTTCTTCTTCTTGCTTTACGGCGGATCGCAGACTTATAAGTGCATTACCGCCACCTATCTCTCAAATGGACCATTGACACTCCTAATTGAGATTGTAGATAGAGTGTCAATGGTCCATTTGAGAGATAGGTGGCGGTAATGCACTTACAAGTCTGTGATCCGCCGTAAAAGCAAGAAGAAGAAGAAGATGCATCGAGGACGCTCTCAGGACAGTTCGGACATTGCGGTGAATCAGAGGTAAAAAATGATATAAATACTGTTCAGTTTCTTGCACAGACCGATCGTTTCATGTCTTTACACATCAATGTATCGTCACGAGCCGCAGGGTTTCATTTGGTTTTGTTTGTGTATGTTTTTTTGACTCTCAAAGCCGTGATTCCCATTCACTTCCATTATATGGCTGACAGACTGCAACTCTTCATTTGTGTTCTACTGAAGAAACAAAGTCACCTACATCTTGGATGCCCTGGGGGTAACTTAAGCAGATAAACATCAAATTTTCATTTTGGGTGAACTATCTCTTTAAAGGTTTGTGTGTTCTTTGACACTTATGAAGCAAAAATGGTGAACCATCCTTTTGTAAACATATATGTCTGCAGCAGTGTGACTTATCTAAATATAGCACCAACCTTTTATTATTTTGATTAGCATTATAAGCACACACATCCTAACTTACATGTATAAGGCTGAATACTGGAGTATATACTAGTTTGAAATATGAAAACTGTCATGTTGCTTGGTATCAAATATTGGTATCATATTTAGTATTATGATCCGAAACAGCATTAACAAAAGTGTTCAAGCAATTAATATCAACAGCAACCTGATTGCTAGTACTACATATTCTGTTAAATTAAAACACATAGGATTCTTTAAGACATTTTTTATTTTTTTTATTCATATGTACAAATGAAACCAACTTCAACATATTTTATTTCTTAATTTTATCCCCACTCCTGTCAGCACTCAGGCCATTCTAGATAAAATGTAAAGTTTGTTCTTGTATGTCAGGTTCATACAGATTTCACACTGCATTTTTTTTTTGGGGACAATTGAACATTCATTTTTTTCATGTCACCACTACTATGTCTTTCTATCTATGTGTGTTTACAGGCTGGTCATTCATGTATGAAATGAATGAGGCACATCGAGTTAACACAGATCACAAGGTCAGTTTATGAAGAAGAATATATATGCACCAATAAGAGTGACGTTTAATTCAGTGATGTTTTGTGGAAAATGATTTAAGTTAATTTTAGCAGCAATGCTAATTTGTATTGTGAACTGTAATTGCATTCGCAGGACTCAGAGAATGGAGGAGACAGTGGTTACCCCAGTGAGAAACGCAGTGAAGGAGACTCAGTCGAACATCACAGTCAGGTACAGATTATCAGCTGGCTAGACAATGCAAATTACGTAAAAATGATATTAAAATTATGTTTATATTATATTATATTAAATTAATCACAACATTATTTGTATCTGCCACAAAAACAGTGAGGGTTTTTGATGATTGAGCCATTTCTTTGAGGGTGTCAACATTAAATCCAAACAAATACAGAACATTTTAAACTAAACTAAGAATTTACAACTGTTGCATTTAAATAAGAAATTGAAATTAGAAGCTATTCTTGCTTGTTTTCTTTGTTACACCCCCAGCAAAGTTTCCTTTCTGTTAGAGTGCATTATAAACTTCTTGTTGTGTGCTGTGCTTAAATGCACCATGAAATGCAGCAGTAATAATTTTTGGGCTCCTGAGATATGTGATGGTAGGTTTTTACATCATCGTTTAGGGACGTCCCTTCTACAACAGACATTGCTCAGAATCGGATGAGGACAGTGTTCGTCGGGTAACTACGAAACCATTGATAAACTCACTATCTAATCATGATAGTCACCCAACACCCATTGATTTCTAATCTGTTTTCTTCTCATAGATCATTGATTTAGAGTGGTGCCCTCCTGTGATCCACCTGTTATCTAAACCTCTTAATCTTTTCATATCATTCTTCTTTCATCTAGACCTTTATCTCATCTCACTTTCATCCTTTAACCAGTGGCAAGCTCTTCTTTCCCATACTGTAGTGTAAACCCATATGCAGGGTTCCCACAGTCATGGAAAACCTGTTAATGTCAGGGAATTTTAAAGCTGAGATTTTGAATGGCATGTAAAGCTTTCTGTAGTTGTGCTTAGATATATTTGTAATTGATTAGCAATTGCTGTTTGTGAGTGAGAATTCCTAGTCATCATGAATGACTAGAGAAGTCATGGAAGTCCTTTAGTCAAAATGTGTGGGAACCCTGCATTTGATTTCCTGCATGCATTGCTTTTTTTTGTGCAGCAATATTTGATGTTGTTATTTTTGTGGTTTTCCTCACAGATGTTAGTTCTACTGCTTCTCATAGAAATGTTTTATATTTAAAAAACAAACAAACAAGAGATTAGTTGCATATAAAAGCAGTTTTTCAAATGACAAACTGTTTTCATTGACAATAAAAGAACAATTCACAGATCAGCTATCCACTGATAACACAACAGACCAATATTGTAAGCTATATACCAACTATATGCATTGCTTGGTCGTGGCCAAAAAAGTAAAAAAAAAAAAAAAAAAAGGATGGACATATAAATAAAAAAGTATGGACACAAGGCCTAGTTGAGTTTTTGACATGGGACAAGTCAATGATGTTGTAATTTTTTGCCTCAGTTATTACTCTGGGTGCTTAATGATATACTTTTTTTGTTGTGTATCTTAGCTGACAGAAGAAAAATGGAGTTTTTACCATTCATCTCGCTCCCACATACACAGACCTTCCTGTGTGGCAATGGAAGTAGAGAGACTTAACACGATGCTTCTCGAAAAGAAAATTGGTAAATCCATCCTAGGCAAGGTAAGAAACTGTGCCATGTGTTTTATAAACCTGTTCTTGAAACTAACTGACAAATATTGCATAATATAAACATTATATTATCATACATTATTCCTTGGTTAAGTCAACCAAAAATTTTAATAGTGTCATTGTTTACTGACCCTCATGTCATTTCAAACCCATAAGACGTCTTCGAAACACAGATTAGGATATTTTAAAGTTGAGAGGTTACTGTCCCTCCAATCAAAGTCCATGCAACCAAAACTTTAAAGATCCAAAAAGATCTCAAAGGGGGCGTAAAACTAATTCGTATGAATCAAGCAGACAAAATTTTCATTTTCGTGTGAACTTTTCCTTTAAGGTACATCTAGCCATGGTTCGCTACCACGAGGCCGGGCGCTTTTGTGAGAAGGATGCACCATGGGACCAGATTTCTGCAATGTACCATTTGGAAAGGGCTGCCATGTGTGGGGAGCTTGAGGCTATAGTTGCCCTTGGCCAATGTTACCTTCAGCTGCCACATCACATTCTACCAGAGATCGAATTAGAGGTGCTTTCTTTTCCTAATTATCTTGTTTTGATGGCCATGCTTATACTTCCTCTGTCATGTCTGTGTTGTTTCATCTCAGGCATCTGAGGAAAACAGCAAGAAGGGTTTCCGCTTTCTGCTGAAGGCCGCTGAGGCAGGAGACCGGCCGAGTATGATTCTAGTAGCACGAGCATTCGACACTGGTTTGAACCTCCCTTCTGACAGGCGAGAAACGCATTGATCAGTTTTTAGTCTTTTTGGACCAAGATGGGTTTAGGGCTGAAACTTTAATTTTGGACTTTTAAAATGCAGGGTTATGGACTGGAAACAAGCCATGCACTGGTATGACTTTGCCCTTAAGATGACAGACTACGACGAGGGGGGAGAGTTTGATGGGATAAAAGATGAGCCGCGCTACCTTCTGTTGGCACGATTGGCTGAGATGTACCAGGAGGGAGGGCACAACTTGGATGCAGACCCCCAAAGAGCAGGTGAGTGTATCTCATGCTCAGGGACACCTTTAGATAACCAGAGACCTGTGGGCTACAGCATTAAGCCCAAAGTATACGTCACTTTGTACGCGTATTCAGGGTCAGTGTAAAGTGCACGTGACACGAATTTTGTCATCAGAACTGTACACGCACCACCCGATTATTGAAACTGTGCGTACTTTGTACATGCAGGTTGCACATGCGCATTGAATTTGTTTTGCACTAATCAGTTGTTCCACAAGGTGACAACACTGTCCCGGGCCACTGTGGAAAAGTAGAAAACTAAACTAAAGAGGCTGAACAACAACATCAAAATAGCAGAGACTGCAACAACAACAGATGCTCGGGTTCACAAGCGCTTGTGAGTGAGAGGGTATGAGACAGTTCAGCTTTGGTTTAAAAGAGTTCAAAAATATTTGTTATTGGTCATAACTTAACAGGGAAAAATAGAGCAGACATTGAGCATGGATGAAGTTTTCTAAAGCGCATGTGTGGACCGCCCGCACAACATCAAATGAAGTATACTACGTGTTCGGCTGTATGCATATGCTAGCGTACGCATACAAAAACGTATAAGTATACTTGGGGCTTATTTTAGGCTACAGTAGACCCCCACCAGCCCAAATGAAAATATCACTAGGCATTGTATCATGTAGTCATTACATACAGATTTTAATTAATGCATATGTATGAATAAATTCAAGTGACATTCCTTTAGAAACTTATCGGGATTGCTTTTCTATTTGAAAAGTCCATGATAACATCAGTAAAATCCAATTTTGGGAACACTGTCCCGGGCCACTGTGGAAAAGTAGAAAACTAAACTAAAGAGGCTGAACAACAACATCAAAATAGCAGAGACTGCAACAACAACAGATGCTCGGATTCACAAGCGCTTGTGAGTGAGAGGGTATGAGACAGTTCAGCTTTGGTTTAAAAGAGTTCAAAAATATTTGTTATTGGTCATAACTTAACAGGGAAAAATAGAGCAGACATTGAGCATGGATGAAGTTTTCTAAAGCGCATGTGTGGACCGCCCGCACAACATCAAATGAAGTATACTACGTGTTCGGCTGTATGCATATGCTAGCGTACGCATACAAAAACGTATAAGTATACTTGGGGCTTATTTTAGGCTACAGTAGACCCCCACCAGCCCAAATGAAAATATCACTAGGCATTGTATCATGTAGTCATTACATACAGATTTTAATTAATGCATATGTATGAATAAATTCAAGTGACATTCCTTTAGAAACTTATCGGCATTGCTTTTCTATTTGAAAAGTCCATGATAACATCAGTAAAATCCAATTTTGGCTAGACTTTAGTTTTTGTTTGTTTGTTTGTTTTTAACCAAGGCCAGTTTTGAGAATCAAAATATCCTGTTCACCCCACCACTTGCAATAGCATCTATGAATGTGCAATAGGATATATCAACTGTAACCACTGTGACAGTGACTAAAATAAAAATGTCTTATTATATTTGAAACGAAAATATTTGATGCTCAATTTCATCCTCAAAATGAACTGACAGCAGCTTTAATACTGGAGTGAGAGCAGAGTATTTAAGTTGCGCGCAGACCACAAAACTCATTGAAACCGCTCCGATGGAAGACAGTATTGGACCTTCAGATGGCCCAGTTTCTATCCATGCCATTGTAAGTTATCAAACTCGCATTCTCACACTTTATGACATCACATGACATTACACACTGTATGACATAACTAGTTGTGTTGTCAGGTTCCGTTCACACCGCAGGGCTTCACTGAAAATGCGGTTGTTAGTCCTGAAAATTTACGGGTGTGAGTTTAGTTATAGAATGCTGTTTTTAATATACAAAATATATATATATATATATAATTTATTGTGCAGCCAGTAGGCCCCTGGGCTTCATCTCATAGAAGCCTGTGCATTAATGCGCCCCTGCTCATGCTCTAAAGCACAGTCATTCTTCTGCAGAACTTAAGATTTAACATTGGAAAGTGTTACAACAATACGATATAATGTTAAGGTCGTGCCGATATACTGCTGACCAAAAATATTAGATTGAGTCTCCATGCCAGGATTATTGGATGCAGTGTCTTTACCAGATCCCGTCAGAGGACATCCATTTTGTCTGGTATTCAAAACTGTCTTATCAGCCTGAGAGTTTGACAGAGGAAGCTGTGAAATAGCAGAGAGAAGGAGATGAAGTGATGCTTTAAAATGAGTGGGGTTTATTGAATAATTTTAGTTGCGCATGTTTTAATGCTTTGAATTCACCCTGTACTTTATCTGCCCAGCACAAATCAGTAAGTGTTATTATACCAAAGCAAAAGCAATGGAAAATGAATGCTTTATAACATTGTCCTGTGACTTTTAAAATAATTTGTATAATAAAAACTTAAAAGAAAAAAATAAAACAGCGCAGATGTACAATATAGTCGTTTTTTTTTTTCAAATGACACACAAGTTACAAATTAATAGGGATACTTAGCTCCTTTACAATATCATATAATTAAAATGGGCAGTTTTGCTTTCTAAATGTGTCCTGAATTTGTTGTAACATTTTAAATTGGAATTGCATGCATGTGTGAGTTAAGATGTCTTTAAATTTTGTAGGTGATCTTTTCACTGAGGCTGCTGATGCAGCTATGGAGGCCATGAAGGGCAGACTGGCCAATCAGTACTACATGAAAGCAGAGGAAGCATGGTCTATGATGGAAGAATGAAAGTGCTGGTGTGCAAAAAAAGCATGAAAATGGTTCCTATTGTGCACCCAGCCCCTGTTTACATGCTGTTTTCAATGCCTTATGTTTTTCTTGGGTCTCTTTGACTTAAGAGAAATAATGTTGATATTAGATCTGTTTTCTAATGAGTGTGACAAGGGCATATGCTGATTGCAGATCAAAGATATACTGAGGTGCTAAATACACATACTCTCCTGGTTAATTTTTGTTTAAGAACAGTTGCACAGTGTCTGCAGCCTGTTCAGGTTGCTTCATGGGAATACATGCATTACCTGTCAATAATTTCTTTCTCTTGTTTCTGAAAAGGACAACTGGTTGTTTCTTTAATGAACATGTTGTGACTGTTAAAAATGGTATCACCGATGATTACTTCAGTAAAATTAATTTGCTAGTATTGCTAGATCTGATGTCTAAGAACATTAAGCATCAATAGCTATTGCTGTGAGTTTGAACATGTTTTGTGTAGACTGTCAAAAACCTTTCATAATTCACAATTATCAAGGAGTGCAGAAGTGAGTGTGATCATTTTCGATGGTTGTTTTTCAAATGAGAACAAGATTACAAAGATTACAAACAATAAAATCATTAAAAAAAAAATTAAGTCTCATTACACATTATGCTTGTTTAGCCAGAAATGTGATATGTTGTTTTTAAGTTCATACCGAGACGCCATTGCACATAATGCTAAGAAACAAATTATATAAGATGGAATTTCAGGCATGGCAAGGACATCCAGTGGTTCTAGCTTTATGCTTAATAGTGTTATGATATTTCATTAAAAAAAAATAATGTATGGCTACAACAATAATCAATAGATTGATCAATATGATGATTGTTTTAATATTGGATGTCTTAATACAGACTGTGAGTCCTAGGTGCTTTCCAATTGGCAAGTACGGTGCTTTCCATTGGTCAGCGATGAACTTGAGTAAACCAGTGACCTTTAGGTGACTTCCAAGAAGGACACCTGCATCTGCAAAAATTATTAGGAAAATGGTTCAAACTAGCAGGATTCCACTATTAGAAAATATACCTGGAAAAGTAAAAAAATGTATGATAGCAAACCAGAGGAGAGATTTCAACAGAACTGTGATACCATTGGTCAATAGCTGATAAGAATAAGGTATAAAAGCTGATGCCTGGACAGAACAGATTCTGATCATCTCGGCTTTATTGCTGTGTTCAATAAAGTCTTATTTTGAGATCTGGAACTTCATTGACAAATTTGAGAAGACCATTGTTTGTTCCATGACAATAGCACAAAATTAAAGACTGAAATAATTACAGTAATTTAAGTGTATGATCAAATATACATTATGATAACATACAGACAGTCGGATATTGTCACAAAATAAACCACTTTAGGATTGTATAAGATTTATTTTAGAAAAATGCCAGCATAATATGTGCAACATAGTGTTATTTTTTAGATGGTTATATCAGTATTCGTTCATTGCCTCTTTTTTTTATTTCAGATACAGGGGCAAAAGAAGTTAGAAACATCAAGTTAGATTTTTTTTCTTCAGTTTTCAAATCTAGTTTTCAGATCGTATTAGATCAATAAAGGTAAATATCTTATGACTATGCATTACAGAGACCAGGACTTTGTAAAGTTCTGCCCCAAGAATGAATGATGGAGTGAAATTAGGTACAGAGTCAATTACAAACTATTAGCCTATATCTAACTGTACATTAAAAAAAAAGCCCTTTACCTTTGTTAGTCCCATATAACGCCTTATCCCTATATAGGTTTAGGTATAATATTGCTAATTACAATAGGATCAGTACTGATGCTCGCTTTTTCTGTATATTTTGAATCCATGTAATGTATTATGTTAATTTAATCATGTTTATATTCTTTACTGTACAGGTAAGTCATTTATTTGATATAAATGTATATATCTTTTACACCTGCTATACACAACAATATTGGGTTTGTTACTGTAAATTAAAAATAAATTAAGGGAAACAACCTAAGTATTGTATTAGAATATACACTACAATAAGGCATTTTCAATAAGACACTTTAAGTGATTTTGTGTGATCACTTTTATTGTGCGCATAAACAGTTTTACTAGTTCCTTCTTTGCAATCATGCTTCACCGCTTCCGCCGTCTTATCAGGCTAGGGCGGGTCGTATCTAGTTTAAAAGAGCAATTGCACATTTAACGTGATTTAATTGGCCACCTTTTCTGTCGCGTTACGTCAACACAAGATCCTATTGGCTATGAAAAGTAGCATGTATTACTACTGGCCAACCAGAAGCCTTCGCGCGGAATTTTGAATTGTTTTCAAACATTGGTAGTTATCCGTCTTATGTCCCTCCGCAGATTGACAAAGAAAGTAGTCCTTCGTTTTTGTAACGCATTACACGCTAAATCAAGCTTTGAACAAGGCTCCAATTAGCTAGCTCCATCCATTATGCGATTTTATATTATATTTGAGCAAATAACTGGTAGTTGTTTCGTTTTTGAACATTAATTTATTTGTGCTGGGGTTTTTTTTCTTTTTTTTTCTAAAATATTATATGGTTTTATATGAGGTGTCAGAGACTTGGCAAATTAATTTTTCATAAATTTGTATGCACAGACATCTGTTGTGGCATTCTTGGCAGTTTTTACGAGGCTTTTTTAAATAGTGTTCATATCGCTATCGGAATTATATCGTATCGACTGAAATTAAGAAATATATTGTGATATACATTTTTACCAGATCGTCCAACCCTAATATGACTACTACTGTAGCACGTACACACAATCACTGCAAGTAAAATTGAAGTGCACCTGCTTAAAATGTTTAACATTTGGTTGCAAGTATCTTCTTAATTGCAATTGATAAAGAACTGTAAATGTTTGGGACACGCGCTGTTCTGCTGGTTTGATGCTAGGCAGGCTTTTCATTGATTTCCAAATTTGGCAACCACTCTAGCCAATCAGAATGCGTTACTCTAATGATATGCATTCCTGGTCATTGTAGCGATTCGTGAAGCGGAGTATAACTCCTATATCTGTTTATTAAAATTATAGTTATGTTATGCAAAATGTCAGTTCTCTCAGATGTTTGAGTAAATTGTCTTACTAGAAGTATTTTTCACATTTTCAATGCATATTTGTGACAAACAGGCGATTTTACAGCGCCAGATACCAATGAAACGTACACAACAATTGTTAATGTAATTTAAACACTTAAAAAGATATTAAAGGACAATAAAGTGTTAAGACTCGTATCAGTGAAACTACATCTATCACAAAATCGTAAAGAAACATTTTTTTTTATTAAATATTAATTGACAACACAACTTTCAGCCAACCTGAAGTAATGTTTAAACATTTTGTCTGTTGAGGAGTGAACAAGAGTGAATGGTGACATTAAATATGTATGTTTTAGTGTGTATAATTTAACAAGGAAATCTTGAACAATCAATTATTAATGTACTCTTGAGTGAGTAATGTTGTATATTTAAGTAATGTGTGGTGAAACTAGAATGACCCAATAAATGTGAGAGAAATTAATGTCTTGCACCAAGTATCATGTTTCATATTCACCAGTAAGGCAAATGGACTTAGGAGTTTTAATGTGGACTCTTTTTACTGCTCTAGGAAGCTAGACTGTGATATTCGGATTCAGCTGCCACAGGTGTCTAAAGAGCATTGTAAAATTGAGCTGAATGAGAACGAGGAGGTAATTATATTGTGTTGTTAAACTAAGTTTCAATTTGTCTTGTTTTCTTTTTATTTCCACGAAAGAACACATGACATGCTATTCATGTATGGACTTTTCTCTCTTGTTTAAGCTCATTTTGACCAATTTGAGCTCCGTGAACCCCACTCGTATTAACGGACAAGTTCTTAATCAATCAGAACGTTTAAAGCATGGTGATATCATCACAATCATTGATCGTTCTTTCAGGTGAGTCAGATGTTTGCTATTATTTTAATGCTGGAAAACAATCTTTCTTGGACAATCCTTGTTTGGTAGAATTTGTTTTATGTGGTTTATTCTTGTCAAAATGTCAGGTTTGAGTACCTACCTCCTAAAACACAGAAGAAGACGACGCTGTCCACACCTGGAAACGACAAAGCAGTCCAGGTGTGTACTTTATGCGAGTCTTGCGAGACAGATGATAGGTATTTTTTGTTCATTTATCATTTATTTCTTTGTTGAATTTGTTCTTTTTTTTCCTGTAGGCTTTGCAAGAGCAGCAGGAAAAGGGCACACCTGTTCCGGTGGACAAGAGCAAGTCAGAGCATTCGTTTGGTTAGTGATCATGAGATTTGAGGCTTTATTCTTTGTTTCTGTTATATTAGTAGTAGTAGCAGTCAGGGCTTGACGCTTGCCTTTTTCTCAAGGTGCATTAAAAAAAATTTAGGGGCGCACTGCAAATTTTTCAAATTATGTGTTTTAGCTTAATAAGGGGGTGTAAGGTATGGAAGCTTGTTTCCGCCACTGAATAAAAAAATATAGTTCTGTAAGTCATAATAATGAGAAACTTTCTCGTAATAATGACTTAGTATCTCGTTATAATGAGAAACTTTCTCGTAATAATGACTTAGTATCTCGTTATAATGAGAAACTTTCTCGTAATAATGACTTAGTTTCTCGTAATAATGACTTAGTATCTCGTAATAATAACTTAGTATCTCGTTATAATGACTTAGTATCTCGTTATAATGAGAAACTTTCTCGTAATAATGACTTAGTTTCTCGTAATGAGAAACTTTCTCGTTATAATGACTTAGTATCTCGTAATAATACGGAACGCAAGAGTGACAGCACGCTAGCGCCATCTGTTGGTCAAAGCCATGCAGGAACACCGCAAACATTGCTTTCTGTAATCTAAAGTGTATAATGCTATATTCTGTCATTAAATAACGATTTCAGATAAATTATCTGTATGTAGTCTTTTGTGTAATAGATACTCTGCCAGATAGTTATGGCTTCAAACATTCCAGACCAATATTTCAGTTAAGAAATCCAGGCATTTTATGAAGAAATGAAAGCCATTACACATATAAACTTAATTTATAGATGTGTATTTCGATGATTTATTAGTTTTATTAGCTGTCCCTTTCATGCATCACATGCAATGATAGCGGTGTTCCTGCATGGCTTTGACCAACAGATGGCGTTGGTGACTCATAATAATGAGAAACTTTCTCGAAATAATGACTTATTTTCTCATAATAATGACTTACTTTTTTTTTGTGTGGATTAGGCAAAGTCATTATTACGAGAAACTAAGTCATTATTTCGAGAAAGTTTCTCATTATAACGAGATATGAGAAAATAAGTCATTTCGAGAAAGTTTCTCATTATAACGAGATACGAAGTCATAATTCTGAGAAAGTTTCTCATTATGACTTACAGAATTATATTTTTTTATTCAGTGGCAGAAATAGTAAGGAGACATTTACCTGCACAATTATTAAATTTATCAGAATACAGAAAGTACACAAGGTTTTTAAATAATTTAGCTTCAGACTCTATTTAATAGGCTAATTATTTATAGTCCTATTAAATTGTATGTACATTAGGAATGTGACGGTATAAAATTTTCACAATAGTCGTTGA